TACTCTATCTGCTGCCCCAAGGCCAGGTTCCTCAATGCGCCCCCCTACCCGCCGACCACCCCACCATGGAGAATGGCAGACCTGCAGGCTGCATAAAAGTGATCTCTGCAACATCCCTGAGATCACCTGTACAAAAGAAGCGGCGGCTTCCCCCGCTGTACATTTAGCTCTGCTTGCCTCTGTAAGGCTAAATGTAGAAAACAGCTACCCGCCCGGCGCCCGGAACTGCATGTCCCGGGCATCGGGAGATAGGAATTCCACACCCCTGCTGCCCCAAGGTCGGGCCTTGGTTGGCCTTGTGGGAAATCCGGCCCCGAGGACTACAAATCCCAGCAATACAAAATAATGTGAAGCTACATACTCTGTGCTTCCCTGGGTTGACGCCCTGATGTCTCCAGCTGGCCTGTGCGGGCTGTGCGACTCTCGAGTGGGCTGTGCGACTCTCGGGTGGGCTGTGCGACTCTCGGGTGGGCTGTGCGACTCTCGGGTGGGCTGTGTGACTCTCGGGTGGGCTGTGCGACTCTCGGGTGGGCTGTGGTTTTCAGTTGTTCACTCGAGTCCACCTAAATTCGGGTTTCGGGCACATGTACGGGATTCGGGTTTCAGGCACATGTGGCTGCCCGAGATCACGCTTGACTAGGACCTCGGCAGCCGCATCTGTGATCGCTCCTCCTCTCTCCTAGCTCTGGTGATCTATCACATAGAGAAGAACGAGGAGACGTTCTTCTCTATGTGATAAATCACCAGAGCTAGAAGAGAGGCGGGGCTATGTAGATACACATGCGGCTGAAGGGAAGAGGCGGGGTTACGGAAATAGCCGAGCGGCAGGGGAAAACGACACAATTTTTTATTTTTTTTTGTTGGTAGCATTTTTTTATTAATTTTTTTAAACATAGGAGCCCGAAAAACACGTAAAAAACGAGCCCGTCGTCCCACCTGCTTGCCTTATATGAACATGTTAAATATTCGCACGCAATATTAGCAAATTTACGTGAAAAAAAATGTGGTAAAGACAAATTTTGGTCCTTGTTCATTACATTTTAACAAATTCAATGAAGAAAGAAATGATTATTGATAGAGTTTGCACATTTGCTTTTGTCAAGCTTTCCCTAGAGGAGCGGTGTCATCTTCTGGAGGGGGGGAGGGGGGAGCAGTCATTATTTATACGTATTATAAAAACTTCAATTGCTACAAAGTGTCCAGAAGTAGAACCCCCGTCGAGTCGTCTGGGTTGTGCCGCTTTCTGATTTCCTAGTTGTAGTATTTATATGCTGGGCTGTATTCTCCCGCCCGCCAAGATCACTTGCCTGAGTTACTTCCCTGACTGAAGTTCCCTTTTAACAGTCACATCAGTGAGTCCCTGGAGTGAGTCCCTGGAATCTTGTCATTCTTGTATCCGGGCTCCATTCCAAAGTCCCTTTTTTTCCCCCGTCCGTGCCTCTTTTCATGTCCCGGCCACCAATACAATCTATGCCAGACTCCGAGGTGTGTAGGAAGAGACCTGGCAGATACTTTTTAGATCCTCATCTCACTACAAAAAGTGGCCAAAAAAAACATTCTTTTTACCCAAGGGGGAGAAAACAAGGCCAACCAAGGCCCGGTCCGGGGCAGCAGGGAGTAGAGGGGCAGCAGGTGTGTGGAATTCCTACCTCCCGATACCCAGGACATGCAGTTCCGGGGTGCCGGGCGGGTAGATGTTTCCTACATTTAGCCCAGCTTTGGGCAAGCAGAGCTAAATGTACAGCGGGGTAGCAGCATGCATGGGGGGGTTGGCGGGTAGGGGGGGCACACTGAGGAACCTGGCCTTGGGGCAGCAGAGAGAGTATATCCGGCCCTGGTTCTTAGGTGTCTAGTAGGGCCACCTGCTGGTTAAAATAGAGAATGCAGTACAAGAATTGTCTGCCTTCCTGAATGCACTGGGGGTGCTTTCTGCAGGCTCCCCCTGGCCCTTTTCCATGCTTTGATAACGTAATCTGGATTTCCTGCTGCCACCCTGGTTTCAGGGTTTCTTACCCTTCCTCCTCCAGTTGGCTGCGCATGACTTGTTTTGAGGTATGTTTGGCACTGCTCTTCCTCTTTGGCGCCCTCTTATGACCAAACCCGTAAACATCCTGATTCTGCAACTACTAGCTCAACTCCTGACACATTCCTGTCGCAGAGTGATGATGCAACAGCAGCTCACTCTCCAACTATCTGCTTGTCCATTCAGTCTCCGCCCCTTGCGTTTTGTTCTGGTCAACCAAGTGCGCCGCTGTTGTTCCTGTTCTCTGTGTATGACCCTGGCTCCGGGTGACTGATCTCCTGGTTCCTGGCTCTGGCTTTCTTTCCGTTCATGCTGCTCTCAGTGTACCCTAACCTGGCCTGGCTGACTACCCAGTTTGTTTTCTGACCTCTGGCTTGGCACTGATGACACCCTGGACTTTCTCCATAGTTTTTTTGCATTTATGTTTATTGTTGTTTTTAATAAACTCCTTTTTTTTTAAACCCACACTTGTTTCTGCCTGGATTCCTGGTTCCCTAACACCTGGTTGTGACTGTGACCTGTTGGCAGGATTGTGCCACTAATTTGTCTATTGCAATGGCAAATGCTAGCGTAACAACTAGGGATGTACCAATGCTGTTTTTTCGGTATCGAGTACGAAGTACCAATATTTTTTTCCGGTACTCGCCGATACTGAATACCGATACCGGGAGTCCCATTAAGGAAGAACTATGAGGGGGGGGGGGGGGGGCTTTTAGGAGGTGAGCGAACACATATCCAGTAGATGTCGGAATTGAAGCCCCGCACCCATTAAAATAGTCCAGATGCAACTTTATTCCATTAGGGTCAGGGGACATCCAAGTAGAGCAGCCAATGCATTTTGGGGGTCCAAAACACCCCTTTCAGGGCTTATTGGCAGCCAAACCATCTGCTGAGAAGTCCTCCCATCAAAACTCAACACAACTTTCAAGCTGCAGGGATTGTAGTCCATGTACATGGTTTCTCTTAAAATGACACTAAACTTCGGAGTTAAGTCCTTAAAATACATCCGAGTCCCCGAACTATGAACAACAATGTATCTTATTTGTGTATCACTCGGCTGCAGATCCTCCAATCATCTCTGACACTGTCCTTCCTTCTGGAGGGTGGCTACGTCTGTTCCTCCATGGTGCCTGTGTGTGTTGTAAAGTAGTCACCGCTCCAAGCTCGTTCCCGGGATGGACTACAATCTCACATTCAGTTTACTAATTTGTATTGAGATTGTAGTTCTTAACGGGAGCGAGCTCGGAGCGGTGACTACTTTACAACACACACAGGGACCATGGGGAACAAAAATAGCCCCCCGGCTTCCTGATTGGCCGGAAAGCAGCCTCCATCTACACTCCGAACAGGGAGTTCCACCCGTATCCAGCTATTCCCTCTAAACAGCCGGCTCCATGCTGATTGGCCCAGGAAGCTGGCTTCCTGGTTCTTCTGCATCGAGCTGACCAAACAGCCGGCTCCATGCTGATTGGCCAGGAAGCCGGCTTCCCGGCCAATCAGCATCGAGCCGTCCGAACAGCATCAAACTGTTCCCAGCCAATCAGCATCGAACCGACTTCCCAGCCAATCAGCATAGAGCCAGCTTCCTAGCCAATCAAGAAGCCGGGAGGCGGTCCATTACTCGCATCCTGGCTTCCTGATTGGCTGAGAAGTCAGCATGATGCTGATTGGCTTGGAGCCGGTTTCTTGACCAAGCACAATCATGGCGGTCAGACAACATGGAGCCAGCTTCTGGGGCAATCAGATTGCCCGGGAAGCCGGCTCCAAGCCAGCGGTAGCACCGGTATTGGTACTCAGCATCAAAGAGTACCAAAAAACCAGTATCAGTGCATCCCTCCAAAAAAATAAACCTGAGGGCTCCCAGACCCGAATGCAATTCGTACATCCGGATTCAGACCCATTCGAATGCATTAAACCGAATTGGCCAGAAGAGTCACATGTCAGATTCAGTTTGGTTTTGGAACGAAATTCGGACGGGATCTGACATTTAAAAACGGAAATTCGGATTCGGACACATTCAGATGCATTGGGATTCGGAAAATTCGGATGTGTCCAAATGTCCGAAATTGTGGAAAACATGTACGAATTTTGATTGGGGACGAAACAAATTGCACAAGTCTAATACACTGAGATATGTCACTTTGGAGGGCGATGGGACGCCTCTAATAATAAAAAAAAAAGCACACATAATACTAGACATGTGCAAAGACTGTAAATTTGTTTCGGACTAAATGAATGGAAACTAAAAATGTTTTCATTAGTTTCATCAAACTAATTTTGGATTCGGGCACCAGCGCATTCTGCGCATGCGTGCCGCCATCTTGGAGGCAGGGCGCATGACGTCACATACCGCACACGTCTCACAATTTTCTCGGCCTCGGGCGCTAAAGGAGCAAGCTACGGCTCTGCCTCCATCGTTCGATTTACCGTACCGGAACAAGCCAAACCAGCACCCCTTCGGCTTCGTAGTGGAGCTTGAGTGAGTCATTCCCCTGTGCGTGCCGTGCACATATTCTCATTTGTTTTCTCTCACTTCCTGTTGTGTCTTCAGTCCAGGGGCCAGAACAAAAAAAAATACCAGGCAGGAGATTTAACCATATTTTTTTCACAATTAAATAGAAATATTTAATGAAATAAATGAGTTGTTGACCGAATCTCCTTCCTCAATTTTTTTTTTTTTATTATTATTATGAAATAAAAAAAATTTGGTCGTTTGAGTGTAAATTGCTTAAAAAAAATAAAAAAAATAATCAATACCTCAATCAAACCCATGAAGAAATTAAATTAAAATTTTTGCTTACCCAAATTGCGTGTGGTCATCACTTTAAGCCTAATGATTTTTTCCCCATGGAGAAATGACATTACAATTTTTTTTTACGTTGCGTGCGGTCATCATTTTAAGCCGAATTATTATTTTTATTAATTTTTTTAAAGGTTACCCATTTATTGACAGTTTGGCGGAAGTCGCATTACTCACCCTGAAGATGCAGTTTGCTTTCTGTGCTTTGCAACAGCACCGAACTGACCGAATCCAGATTGTCATAGCTGCTACATCCCAGTGGGCCGGTACGAGTCTCTGTGACCTACAGACACAAAATGTGAAAATGGTCGTCAAGCCAGAAAAATCATCGCTCTCGTTTTTACACTTTTAAGAGAAATTTGTCCTAAATGTATCTCTCCCCCGCTGACTCTTTATTCTACGCAGCTGGGTGGATCCAGGGCCGGATTTATTGTCTCTGCTGCCCCAAGGCCAGGTACCCCAATGTGCCCCCCTACCCGCCGAACACCCCTTTCCCCCAGTGGAATACAAGTGATCGCCGAGATCACTTGTACAAAACAAGCGGCAGCTTCACCGCTGTACATTTAGCTCTGCTTGCCTAAAGCAGGGCTAAATGTAGAAAACAACTACCCGCCCTGCGCCTGGAACTGCATGTCCCGGCCGTCGGGAGATAGGAATTCCCCACCCCTGCTGCCCCTCTACTCCCTGCTGCCCCGAGGCCGGGCCTTGGTTGGCCTTGTGGGAAATCCGGCCCTGGGTGGATCCAGACAGAATTGTCAGGATCCGTTCCGGCTGCGGCATCTCAGACAGCTCGCAGTATACAGAGCTTTGGGTGACGGGAGGACGCTAGTTTGTGTCCTCCCGTGACCCTTAGGAGAACTATGGGGAAAAGCACTGACCCCATAGTTCTCCTTTAAACTCTTTTTAACTATTCAGTACAACAGGACACGACAATAGGGATCATACAGTACACAGTCAGCAACCAGACACATGACATATTCCTTATTCATAAACACCATGCAAAAAAATAAATAAAAAAATTGTCGTTTGAAAATTTTCAGGACACCGAAAATTTATAGAAACGTCAGATTATCGTATCAACAAACACAAGTAAATTGAGAATTATTATTGGATTTATGTGTTTATTAATTTATTTAGAAGGGTTTTGGGATTTGGGAGAAGTGGAAGTGGATCTTTGAAGACTACAGAACCACTCCTCTCCTGTTATGAACATAGAGGTAGGGTTTTTAGGCCTGCTTGTGTTGCCTGATACAAAGGATGGTTGAGTGTTGTCACCCTTGGACAGGAAGTGTGTTACTGGCAGGATCACCAGGTTTTGTTTTTGGGAGCTAGATATGCTTTAAGCTCATTGTTCCCCTAAAAGCCAACAAAAAACATTTTATTTTCACCTTCTCCCACTGACCACAATTTCTGAAAAAGGGCAATTTTCACCAAATCTCATTTTCCCTGGAAATTCGACAACCCTTTTGATCTTTTCACCTAAAGGCCATATACATGTATACACTGATCAACCATAACATTATGACCAACTGACTACTATTGAGTAGGTCCCCCTTTTCCTGATCCATCAAGGCATGGACTCCACTAGACCTCTGAAGGTGTGCTGTGATATCTGGATGACCCCCCCTAATATTGAGTAGATCCCCCTTTTCCTGCCCCATTAAGGCATGGACTCCACTAGACCTCTGAAGGTGTGCTGTGGTATCTGGATGACCCCCTAATATCGAGTAGGTCCCCCTTTTCCTGACCCATCAAGGCATGGACTCCACTAGATCTCTGAAGGTGTGCTGTGGTATCTGGCACCAAGCCGTCAGTAGTAGATCATTCAAGTCCTGTAAGTTGTGAGGTGATCGGCCTCCATGGATCGGACTTGTTTTTTCAGCACATCCCATGCATTGAGATCTGGAGAATTTGGAGGCCAAGTCAACACATCAAACTCCTTGTTGTGTTCCTCAAACCATTCTTGAACCATTTTTGCAGTGTGGCCGGGCGCATTATCCTGCTGAAAGAGGCCACTGCCATCAGGGAATACCGTTTACATGAAGGGGGTGTACTTGGTCAGCAATAATGTTTAGGTCGGTGGTACGTGTCAAAGTAACATCCACATGAATGGCAGGACCCGAGGTTTCCCAGCAGAACATTGCCCAACACATCACACTGCCTCTGCCAGCTTGCCTACCCCCCAGATCATAATGTTATGGCTGATCGGTGTAAGCTGATGATATTTTCAATATCACGTTCATTTCCAATGAAGTTTATGGTTATAAATAACAGGACACGGATTTATTCATCACAAACTCGGGATGAAATTGGTTTTGGATGGCTTTAAGTTGGGCGGATTCCAGTGTTATAATGGAATCATGATTTATATTACTTACAGCTGATAGTTGGTTAGAATGTCTATACCCGCGGGATCATATTTTATGAAGTCAATGTTAATTAAAGTGCGGGGAGATTACTAATGAGTAATTTTTAATTGTTTTTATGGGTTAGGGTCGGGTGTTTGCTATATAAATCTTGTGGAAATAGTAATGAATTGTTGATTTTTTTTAAAAATAAGTGTTTTTTTAATATTGGTGTACAGAGCTACCAAGCAATTAATTATACTGTTGCGTTGTGTTGATTAGCCTCAATACACTTAGTACATTAGGTCAGTACACTTTAAAAATGTGCAGGGCCTTTATTTATTTATTTTTTAAAATAGTATATTTTAAATTAAATGAGATGTACACCTTCCTGTCCATTCCATTCTTTCCTTTACCCCGTCGCCACCTTTCTTGGGGCTGTTGGGCTCCAAACCCCTTTTTCTCCTTTCCCTTGGTTTGGCCAACCCCCTCGGAGAAAAAAGATTTAAGTTATGATACCCTGTTTCCCCCGAAGATAGGACCTACCCCAAAAATAAGACCTAGTACTATTTTTGGGAATTGCTCAAATATAAGACCTACCCCGAAAATAAGACCTAGTTGTGACCATTCCCAGGGCCGGTGGTGGCATAAGGGGGAACTTGAAGAGGCAGGAGAGAATCAGCGGTGCCAACGAAGCCGGCGCTAGAGGAAGCGAGGCGACAGCGGAGGGAGCAGAGCCGCATAAGCCGATGCCTCCTCTATAGCGCTGCCCCCTGTCACAGGCGGAGTGATACCAAATGTGCTCCGCCTGTGAGGAATCGATAGTGAAAGCGCGCTTCGCCCGTTCTGGCCAGTGATTGGTTAGCAAATTGCTCTTGGAAAGGTACGGCACCCCTGAGTGCCCTGATCACCATATTCTTGTACATGAATAAGTGTGGATTGTTGTACATTAAAAGAAAATAAAAAAAATAAGAAATAGCCCGAAAATAAGACTTACCCCGAAAATAAGACCTGCCCCGAAAATTAGAGACCTACCCCGAAAATAAGACTTACCCCCGAAAATAAGACCTACCCCCGAAAATAAGACCTACCCCCGAAAATAAGACCTATGGTGTTTTTTTGAGCCAAAAAAATATAAGACAGCGTCTCATTTTGGGGGAAACACGATATCTGCACTGGAAGACTCTGCAGATATCTGGTCAACCACAACTAAAGGCTCCAGAAATATCCCAACCATATTCACTTCAGCCTTCTACGGCTGACTTCAGCTGCCTTCGGTCAGCCGAACATGTTCTGCATGCCGAAGTGCAGAAGGACTTCGAATCATCCGATCCAACATCTGGATCGGCTGAGACCGAATCTCACGCAGCTAACTCGCTGCCTTTCGCTCCTTTTCTTATAGGGGCCCAGAACGGCAGTGAGTGAATAGCCGAAGGCCGCCGAGCGGCTTTCGGCTCGGCTACTCTGCTCGGTACCTCTGAGGTAGCGAGCAGAATAGCAAAACAGTTGAAAAAAAAAGTTGAAAAATATTGTGAACGTAAAAAAATAGGAAATAAAAAAGATTGAAAGAAAAGTTTTTTTAAAAACGACGCACGCCGACCTGCCTGCACGCGACAAACTCCCGCCGCATAATGAAACATCTGACAGATGCCGGCAAAATAAAAACAATTGGGCGGAGCTAGCGGTGACAGCTAGCTCTGCCCAACTGTTTCCTATTGGCCGGCACCTGCCAGAGTCTTCTAGCAGGTCTCGGCCAATGAATAACAACTGGGCGGAGCCCGCCGTGACGTCAGGGGAGCTCCTGATGTGAAAGGGGGAACTCTTATATGAAAAGGGGGCTCCTGATGCACTGATATGAAAGAGGGGGTTCTGATATGAAAGGGGGGTGCTAATATGAAAGGGGAAATTCTGATATGAAAAGCTGATGCTCCCATATGAAAGAGGGGGTTCTGGTATGAAAGGGGGGTTCTGATGTAAAAGGGGGAAAAAGGTTCTGGTATGAAAGGGGGGGTCTGATGTAAAAGGGGGGGCTCTGATATGAATGTGGGGGTTCTGTTGTGAAAGGGGGGTCCTGATGTGAAAGGGGGCTCTTATATGAAAGAGAGGCTTCTGATATAAAAGGGGGGCTCCTAATGTGAAAGGGAAACTCGGAAGTGAAAGTTGGGGCTCTGATATGAAAGAGGAGCTTCTGTTGTGAAAGGGGAGGTCCTGATGAGAAAAGGAGACTCTTATATGAAAGGGGAGCTTCTGTTGTGAAAGGGGGGTCCTGAAGTGAAGGGGAAACTCTGATATGAAAAGGGGAGCTTCTGATGTGAAAGGTGAATTTTCGATGTGAAGGGGGAAACCCACATTTTGTGTGTTTTTGCATGGGGTCCCCCTTAAACTCTATGCGATTTTAGACTGGGGTGCCTTGAGAGCTTGCATACTTTGAAAGGGTTCCATGACTGAAAAAAGGTTGAGCTTTAAAGCTCCTTGGGGGTATGGAATTGGATCTCTGAATAATGAACACAATGGAAACAGGGTTCTCTACAATATTGAACCTGAAGTCAAAGTGGAGAAGTCAACTCGATGTGTCCAATGACATGGAAGTGACATTGTAGATGTAGGAACTGAAGCACCACACCAATTAAATAAGTCCAGATTCAGCTGTATTCCATTAGTGTCAGGGGGGACATTTAAGCAGAGTGGCCAATGCATATGTGGGAGTGGGGTTCTGATATGAAAGAGGGGCTTCTGATGCAAAAGGGGGACTCAGG